CAATACTTTTTACTCTCAAATCAAATTTCCAAGTTTCCTAAATATTACTTTAAAAAAATCACTTGTTCCAATTGAAGATTCTTGTTAACTCTGGAATTTTCACCCAGACTAATTCAATTGTTAACATTAAACATTATATTTGTAAATTACTAAATGTTCCTAATGTTGAAATATTCTAAATTAAAATTGTATTAAGAACTGTAATATTACAGTAATAATACAACTATATCATTAAAAATATAATTTTAATTAACATAGTTTTATAATGACTAAAAAAGAATACTTTTGCTTTCCAAGTGTGCCTGAATTCTCACCCAGAGTATTGTTAACACAGGAAAGCAAAATATGAGTAACGTTTCAGGGTTAGAAAAAAGAAAATACTCAGTGAAGTACGGTGATAGAACGAAGAGCATCCCGTTTTCTCAGCTTCCACCGAAGTTCGATGCCATGTTGAAAAGTAAAGAGCGAGGATAGGGTCCAGTAGGAAGTTTTACAGTGGGTAGTTCGGGATGTAGCTGCGGGCTGCACGGCATACGGCCGGAATAAGGAAAGGCTCTGCCTCCAGATTACGGCAATTATCGAATCACGTTACGGGATCCGGCGCCACGCGGCTCTGCAACGCAGGAATTAAGCTTCAACCCCCAGAGATGTGCATGTTCCAAAAAGAAAAAAAAACGTGCATCGCGAGACGCGTTACAATTCTTTCTCGGATTTCGAAGATTTCGAATCGAGAACTACACGCTTGTAAATTTTTGCGCTACTTTGAGCAATATTTTTTTTAATTTTATGATGCTTTAGTAGTTCTATTTCGATTTTAATTTCTAGAGAATTTTGCCCAGAGAATTGAAGATGGGATTGAAATATTTGTAGAAATTCGTGGAAATTATGTCGTAGATTAGTTTATATGAGAATAATATAGCGGAATGTAACAGAATAAAAACGCACGAACTTTCAATTCAATCCAATAGATAAAACCTTGCGCTGATTTCAAGCTTACGTATAGGTAGATTAAAAAAGAGAAGGGGAGAACGGGTTACCAAAGAATAAATACGTGCAATATAATAGAAGGGTTATTAGATGAAGCAGAGTAGAGATAGAATTCAGCGTTAAATATATGATTGTTATATGGTAAGAAGTATGTAAAAGTATGGGATATGGAAGAACGTGTGTTAATTAAGAAGATATTGTAAACCAAGTTCCAATTCTCAACCGCGAGATCAAAATTACATAAAACATATTAGGTCATTCCATAAGTTCCTGTCGAATGTTCCAATTGAAATCAATATTTCCAACAAACTTTTAATTTTGATAAAAAGAATCTAAGCGTTTTCTCGTTTACTTCTTTTAGTAAGACAATCATGTCGTCAAACATTTGTCAGATTCGTCACGAACTTACAGAACGACCTAATATAACACAACAAATTCCGTTTAACTTTCTCTCTGCTAACAAAAACTCATACAAATTCTTTTTTCCAGTGTACCACCTGATACAATCACGGCAACGCAAAAATATCACGATATTACTACCGAATCAATGAACAACCATGTAGATACAGGCAAGAGTATGCCCATTGGACAGCTAGAGAGCTGTTCGTGTCTCCGTATATTAATGAGAGGAGATATAGAGAGAGCGAGAGAGAGAGAGAGTGAGGCGGCCGTGGCTGGGATCAGTGGCGGCCAAGGGGACAAGAGGGCGAGGAAAAGAGGGAGGTGGTTGCCACCTCCACCCCACGGTGGCCGGGTAGACCAAGAGGAGTGAGCAAGGAGGTGCAGAGAGGGAGGAGGGTCTCCACCCTGGGACCACGTGGAGGGAGAGGACGTCGTCGGGTCACGAGGAGCCAGCCAACAGAGATGGTACACGTCGACAGAAAGAGAGAAAATCTGTACATTTCTCTCTGTATATGTATATCTATATATATATCTATATATATATATATGTATGTGTAGAGTGACGCTGGCTGCAGGAGTAAGAGGAGGAGGAAGAGGAGGAGGACCAGGAGGAAACGGAGCTCAAGGAGACGAAGAGAAGGGGAGTGTAAAGAGGAGAGGAGAGAGGAGAGAGAGAGAGAGAGAGAGATCTGGACCCCACGTAGGAGACGTTCAATACTGTAGCAACGACGCCGAGCCAACGCCATTGGCTACCATTTTCTCTCTATACCTTCTAGGCATATACCTTGTACTCTATTCCGGTCTACTCCACTTTATTCCTCCTGCTGCTGGTATCTGGTGCTTGCTGGTGCTTGGATATGGCTCGAGGATGAGCATAGGCGAGTGGAAGAGTACCTATGCTGAGGTGAGGACTGGGTGGGTTAGGATGGAATGGTTTTCCAGCGTGATCAATGGTAGTAGAGAGACAGGATTGATAGCAATGCTTTTTTTTAATTCATTGGTTTCAGGTTTTCTAAATGATGTCCCCTTACAGTCCTTTTATAACGGTTAGAACATTCTACACTTTCTCTATACGGTGCAATTTTAGAGAAAATGTGCTTGCTGTTTACTGGATGAAACAGGTATTTGTATTCAATGCTTGGATAAAAATAGAGATAGGTGTGATTGAATATCGACTGCTTCACCATATGTAGTTAAATGTATGGTGTGTTTTAACGTTGACTGAATTTTACTGAATTGACTTGATATTTTACTCGTGGAGCGAGGAGATAAGTTTATAAATTTACAGAACGTATCTATGTTACGAGAAATTGTAATTTTTGTTAACCCTTTCGCTGCGACAGATTTTAGTATATAACGCTTTTGTGGTAGATGTTTAACAGCTGTAAAATCTTCTGTTTCAGCGGTATTGCGTTAAACTTTATTTTACTAAATTGAGGTGAAAGTGTGCAAAGGATGAAATTCTGATGGAAGTATGCCAAAAGACGCCACACAATTTAAAATTTTTAAAGCGCCTATGGGCGACGAAGGCAAGGAAAGGGTTAAAAAAATTGTTATTTCTGCTCGAATTTCAGTTCTAATTTAATATTAATATAATACTTTCACTTCTTTTTATTTAACGTTGTGTTAAAACAGTGAATAGCCGAGGCTAGTATATAATATGTATCAATTAAAAAGTCGTAAGTGGAAAGATGAAGCAAAGTTTAAGCATCGATTCCATATTTTATTAAATAGAAAAAGCAGAAGACACTTTATTAATTAGCTACGAATGAGAAACGCGAAGAATGAACTTATTTTCTTTTACGAATTATAGCGAAACGCGAAATTACGAATAAACGCGAAATAAACGCGAAAATAAGAAAACGCGAATTTCTATCTTTCTCGACTCCGCAAAATAAATAAATTTCAACAGAAAACGCGTGAAAGTTGAAACAAAGTAAACGCGAATTTCTATCTTTCTCGATTTCGTAAAATTAGTGAAAAAGTAAATTTCAATAGAAAACGCGAAGTTTTATCTTTCGCGACGATAATTCGGGGGAAACATCAGAGAAACGCGGGAAAATATTCAATAATAATCGAACTAAGGATGAAGCTGTTACACACACGAATTCACTGACTCTAATATTTCCAAATATCGAAAAATTCGCAAAATGGATTAATCACGATAAACTAATTTCACGATTTAATTAAGGGTGGGTCGTGAGCTCATCTTGGAACTCACAATATACAACTAACTACTTAACCAAATCACCGAAATAAAAACCCAGTTTTGTTACTCACAGTTCGCAGATTAGGCAGCTGGGCTCTGCAAAACTTAGATTTTGGCTGCATTTCCATCTTCCCTCCTTCCTCTCAGATAGTCATCCTTCCTCCAATCATTCCAGTTCCGCCATTTTCATTTTCTCACAAGACTCAAATTTTGAGTCGCTGTGAAATGGACGACGCGAAATTGTAACGAAACGCGATTTATTTCAGTTTCAATTAAGCGGGAAAGTCGCGATTTTACATTATTCTCGATTTTTGTAACGAAATAGAATAGAATTTATATCTTTCTCGATTCTATAATATAGGAAAAATTCAAGAAAATACGCGACGATAATTGGGGAGGAATTTCAATTAACCACGTAAAAATGTTCAATAATTAGCGAACTAGGGATGAAGCTATTATCACAATACGCGATGCACTGACTCTAACATTTGTAAAAATAGAAAAATTCTCAATGTAAATTCAGAAAATCGATTTATTACGGTAAACTAATTCAGACGGTTTAATTT